ATATTATATTATATTATATTATATTATATTATATTATATTATATTATATTATATTATATTATATTATATTATATTTACTAATATTATACCTATTTATTTATAATTTATTTATATTTATAACGGAACGAAATTTAGATAATACTTTATTATCTAAATTTTGTTTTATATAACAGTGGTAGTAGTTGAACACCGATTATTGTTATTACGAGCTAACGATTATTATCTTATTTATGTAGGCGTGTGTTAACGTTTATGAAGCATTACATATGTATAATTAAGACAAATGTATCTAACCTAGAGCAGTGAACGAATTAAAAGGAACCGAAAATGTCGATGTGTCATTCACAACTTATTAAAATTATTTAATCAAGAAGCAAAATTGCACTTGGCTTTTACACCTTGCAATTGACGCGTGCAATATTTATTTCGCATAAAGATCTGCAGTCTAGCGATCATAATGGTCTGATTTCGCTAAAATTCGTCGTAACGATTAGGTCAAACATCGATCATAATAATCGGCTCTGGATTAAGTCCAGCTTGGATCGCATTTAATTTCATATCAAACTGACCGTGCCTTAATAATGTATAGATTATGTCTAAATATACCTGGTTCAGCTCTCGCAGCAGGTAGATAAGCCCCATAAAGAAATTCGAATGACTGATCAGGCTGTCTGCGGAACCAGAATGTAGAAAGCGTGCGCGTCTACGCGGTTTCTTTCGATCGCATTAAATGAACCATAAAGGTAATCAATAAATGACAACTCGGAACGCGATCTGCTCGATTATCGTGATCGGGAACATTGTTATACGCCGGGGACCGGTAAAAATCGGTCAGAAATTCCTGGATCGCGGTATATCTGATCCGATTTTTTTTTCCACTTTCTCCGGGACGCGGGTCGTTACGGGTTGATTGCATTACATGCAGCTGCAGAAAATCGAGCGAGGCCCCGCCGCGGCGAGCACGGCGTGCAATCGCGGTGCATTATGCAGCCGTGACTTTCGTCTATCTATCCGGCCGACGTCTGTTCTGGCTTAATTAGCCTAACCCGCTTATTATGCATTTTAATTCATCGTTTCCGCGGTTCCGCTGCCGGAAAGACTTAATAAATCCGCACGAATTCGCGGCTGTCCGATGGGAATTTAAACGGCGGACGCGGCCGGAAGAAAAATACCGAAGACAGCCGGGAGCCTCGATGCGGTCGGGCAACGCACGATATCTCTGGGTAATTCGTGGGCAAAAGTATATTATTCAACCTTTTTATATTAATGAAATCGTTCTCATATCATTTCGACTGTTTCAACATTAATACATACATGTTTTTGGCTTCATAATATTACACGAATTCAGTGTCAAAAAATTGAAATAATTTTCGTCGTATTTTATGAACTTCCGTCCTTTACACGTTTAATTTTAATAAACGATTTCATAAGTAATTAATTAAATTTCAATAAAAAAAAAACTTGATGTGTCTTATTCGATAAAGTGAATTATACTTGAAAAGAAACAAAAGGCAGAGTATAATTGGCTCCACCACCCTAAACGGGTTTGCAGCCCACTGTGCAACGACTCGAACGCCGGACAATTTATTCACTCGATGGAGGTTTCGTCCAGACTAATATATTTTCTGCTGCGGGCATAGAGGATCGCGGCGGGATTATTTTTCGTGCGAGCGTTGTCAAATAAAAAATTGTTTTGACCGCCGCGGGGATCGATAAAGGAACGATCCACGAGGTTTACGAATGCAGATCCGACTCGGACGAAGACATTTGTATTCATTACCGTGGCTGTATACGCTCGAATAGCCCTGTCTCTGGACCACCGGCAGCGATTACCGCGCGAATACACCGCTAAACCACCTTTGTACGAGCGTCGTTCGCATATATTTATGTTTACGTAGGAGCCAAATGGAAGTTGCATCGGCGACGGCTGACCAATGGAATGCTGCCCTGTAGGACATCCGTCCGTGAAACTTATGCATCGCGGTCGAAACACGTGGGACGACCGGCGCATCCACTTGTTTGGAATTTTATTGTAACAAGTCGCGATGCCGAAGCCCACTTTACCATAATCCGTCGACCACACAGACTCCCTTCGAGACGCCATCGAACTTTGCTTAAAATTCGCAAAGTTATCAAAAATTCTTTCTGGCATTACGAAAAATATGATGGCGTAGATTGGACCTTGTAGAATCAAGAAAAAAATAGTCCAATTCGATCGGACTTACGGTCTTCGAGATAAAAATTCTTGAGTACAGCGTGAAATTTTGTCTACAGTTTTCAGGAAAAATGTAAGGTAACGTTTTGCCTAAAATTCTCGAGGCTATAAAAAATTAATTTTTGCATGATAAAAAATATGATAGCATAGATTGGACCTTGTAGAATCAAGAAAAAAATAGTCCAACTCGATCGGACTTACGGTTTTCGAGATAAAAATTCTTGAATACAGCGTGAAATTTTTTCTAGAATTTTCAGGGCAAATGTAAGGTAAGACTCTGACAAAAATTCTCGAGCTTATAACAAATTTTTGTTTCACTTATAAAAAATATAACACATTAGTCTGAACCTTCTACATTCAGGAAAAAAATGTTCAACTCGATCGACCTCATAATTCCGTGATAAAAATTCCACGGTACAACGTGAGATTTTATCTTCCGTGTTCAGTAAGTACGAAGGTGAAACTTTGTCTAAAATTCTCAAGATTAGAAACAATTTTATTTTCACCTTAGAAAAATATGACGGCATAGTTCGAACCTTCCGCAATCAGATAAAAAAATTTCAACTTCCGATTGGGTTTGCAGCTTTTGAATAAAAATGTAGACACAGAGGAGGTTACGAATTTTCTTTTTCCCTAATAAATTCTAACGATCGAAATACTTTTCACGATCGTAACAATGGAAGATTATTGTAGAGCAGTGAGCTAGTACTTCGAAAAACTGGAAACGCGATAAATTCGACCGAATTGGCGGAAATGAAGTCCGCGGCGGGCGCGTGCGCAGCGCTGAAAACGAGCTTAAACCCGCTGAATCACCGCCGCATGAAAGCAACCGCACAGATCGTGGAAATAAACGACCGGCTTATAATATTCTGTAGATTTAATCAAGCCCGCCGCCGGCAGGCGAAACATCTGTATAATTGCAACATCTAGTTACTCCTAACATCTTGTTATTACGTCATACATCGAATAAACCCATGCGTAAGCATCGTTTGACAAAATCACTTTAGCTCGGCAGCGAGCAACGGTCGTTTCTGTCATCAATTATCTCGAACATTTTTACATTTCACGTAATTGCTCGCGCGTCTCGCCGTGTAAACGACATTTTTGCTATTTCCCCGCGGCCTTCCCCGATTCTTTGTTAACGCGGCCGATGGAAACCTGGCTCGATGAAATCCACGTGTCCGCCCCGCCTGATAACAATTACACTCGCGATTCTCCTTTTGTGTTCGCGAACACCTCGCCCCACCCCCCACCCACACGCAGCTCGATTCATTCGCGATTCTTGCGGCGTGCTCGGCGGACGGTCTCGTGTTTACGTTCACGTAGGAAACACCTTGACTCGACACGAAAACCCAGTTAACACCGCGCATCCATCGTCGATTCGCTGATTTTTCCGATCAGATGTAAATGTAAATGCTTCGGAGCAGAGCTTCAATTTCATCGTAATTTAACCGGAGACTTTTATAAATGCAAGATAACTTTTACGTTGACAATTGAATTTTGTATCATAATTTTAATCGACAAACACTCTTAATTTCCCAGTAAATTCTAAAAGAATATCTGAATTTTTGAACTTTTAATGAAATGATTTCTAATCAAAGATTATGATTTCTAAAACAAACGATGATTTGAACAAGCAGATCGCTATTTTTAAAACAAATGGGCCTCATATTGGACATCGTTGCCATAACTGTTCTCTAAAAGCAGAAAATTTCAGAATGAGAAAACAATTGAAAATTCTAACAATTTCGTTCAGGCTCCATTGAATGTAATGAAGATACGCGAAGATAATTAATAATATCGCGGCTTGAAAAATTGATTAAAAATTCTATATTTCCCTTTGGAAAATAACCTTGGACTAAACGCGCAGTTGCGGTGAACGCTAGACAATTATTTCCAATCCTTTCGCGAGCAAGAATTCGCCATTAGGTCGGGACTGCGATAGATTAAATTGCCGCGTTATAGCTCGCGGTGACGTAAACGCTATGCGTTATCGATTTTTGAGACGTCAGCTCCACATGTTACGGCGTTAAAGAAGCAGGACAGAGAGGAGCGCGTGCTACTCGCCGGCTCGCGTGCACTTCTTCCGCGCATTGTTCCGTTCCCTCTTTCGAGGACCTTGTATGCAACGAGCGAAGTTGAGTTAGGTCAACCCCCGATTCCCGAGTGCAAGTTCCTCCACGGCGCATTGTTCCCGCGATGCACCATATTGCATCGCTTTATTCCGCGAGAAGGGGGCATATGCGTGCAGCGGGCACGAGCGATGCATGCACCGCGGAAGAATTCGAATCGAGATCTCGTTTACAATCCAGCCAATCGATGTGCGACGAAATTCAAATGTTTAACAATTTACGCGCGGCATTTTATGCGAACAATTCGTCGAGAATCGGACAAAGAAATTATTTTCACGAAAGAGAGAGAGAGAACTCTCGTAGATTATCTTTTTATGATTTCTTTCTTTCTTTCTTTCTTTCTTTCTTTGGCTGGATATAAAATTCCATTCGAGCTAGATAAATTCAAACCACTAATTGCAAACAAAAAGAGTTCGAAATTTGAAATTTTCAATAACTCACCCTGCAACAAAAATCCATGCAGCGCGAGGTTCATGGCTACCAGGTGATCAATTCCTTCAGCCTGGAACAGAAAAATGGAACGTTGATTTTAAATATACACGAGTTAATATACAGCAATAAAAAATGTACGGTGATTAAAACGGAATGAAAAATTTTCGAAATTTTCGACATTTCCGAGATTTTTCCCGCCGGTTGGACGGAACAAATCTTTCTGGGGAACTAGAAGCGTTTGCCAGTGGCTGTCGACAATGGTCCCGGGTTTTTTCGTAGCGGCGATCAATGATCGATGGAAACCGACCATGTGCAGGCGGTCCATGGCGTACTCGAAACTACTCCTCGGCACAATGGCCGCGTTGCAGCGGAAATAATTCAGGTCGAGCCTGTACGTGTGCTCGCGCGTAACGGTGCCTCGGGTGCGAGCACAAAACGGCGAACGCGTTTCACGGCCGGAATTATTTCTGGCGGGGCGGGCTCCTTTTCCCGTTTTTTGCCTGCATCCTGCGGCACCTCGCAGATGGGACTACGGCCCAATTACTTCAAGGATGCTCGGTGCACGGCGCTTTCTTTCGCCCTGGGCCCATCGCGCTCCACATCCAATAATTTCATCGAGCACCGTAAGAACTGTACTTGCGAATTTTTCTGTCGAAAGCAGTCTGACCGATCGAGTTCAGCATTTTTTATCTGATTCCAGAGGGGTCGAACTGTGTCACCGTATTTATTTAAGAGGAAGAAAACATTTGTTATAGTCTCGAGAATTTTTTCGAAAGTAGCATCTCGTGCTTGCTGGAGATTGTGGGCAACGTGTCACACGTTTTACTCGGGAATTTTTACTTCGCGAACTGTCTGTTCGATCGAGTCGAACTATTTTTTTCTTGAATGTAGAAGGTTCAGACAGTGCTAGCATATTTTTTTCACGCGAAAGAAAAATTTTTTATGAGCTTGAGAATTTTAGTCAGAGTTTACTGTTTGTACCTACTGAATATTATAGACGAAGTCTCACATCGTATCCATGAATTTTTATTTTGGAAACTGTCAGTTCGATCGAGTTGAACTATTTTTTTCTTGATTCTACGAGGTTCGAACTACGCTATCATATTTTTCTAAATGCGCAAAACAATTTTTTACAGCCTCAAGAATTTATGCAAATTCCCATGTTTTCACTTGCCGGACATGGTAAACGAGATCTCATGGTTGCACATCGAAATTTTTATCTCGAAAACTGTAAGTTCGATCGAGATCGACCATTTTTTTCCTGAATCCAGAAGGTTCGAGCAACTCCGTCATATTTTTCCGATGCGCCAAAATCGATCTTCCGATATCGCAAAATTTTCGTCAATGTTCCGCTCGATGAATACGCGCGAAGCGAGAAATGGAGATCGCAGCTGACGCGAATGTTTTCACGCCAACTAGCGAATGTTGACAACGTAACCGGGTGTATAATTGTTACCCAGGTGAGCGGGTTTAATTGGTTATCGAACAGGTCGGCCGTCGTGACGAGCCCGGCGGTTCTGCAACCTTGTTGCAGCAATTACAGCGGCGCATGCGAACGAAACAATGGAAGCTTACGACAAGTACGTAAAACGGTTTCGTGGTGTTGTCGCGCGCCACCCAGTGGCTACTCTTTCGCGTGGCACATCACGAAACCGTGGACGATCCCTTCTCCTGCGATCCGGGGAGCCCCGAGGTGAATACGAAATCGGGGAACACGGCCGCCATTAACGTGCGTGCAATCTGTAATCAGCTCGCCGTCTTTTGTATTACTCCGAATACCTCTGCAGGCAATTTCAACTCCCTCGAAAATCTCATCTCCCATCTTATCAGCCGTTTTATCAAGCATCAGAGACTGTACGCGTCTCTCAACCGGCCATGAAAAATAAAATAAATTTCCAAGACCTTCGGTGTGCACCATTCTCGCGACTAACAAAGAGAGCTCGCACCTATTGGCGATGCAGATTTTTTAATGAACAGCCTGCGGATCTTTGTGCAGCATAAAAAATTCCCCAAGAAATTAAGTAAAGAAGAATAAATTAAATAAATAAGAATAAATTTATTCTTAGTATTTAGTACATTATTATTAAATTCTTCTTACAATTCTTTACAATTTTATATCATTTTATATCATTTTTGCCATGAAGGAAATCATATCATTTGTTTTATATCATTCGAGATGAAACTTTTTGCGGCGTCTTTTTGCCAATGCCGATTTCTTTACGAGAATATTTAACGCATAACTAGGGGAACATCTTGGTCCCGAGGCTGCTTATTTCGTCACCAGCGTCGCCGCGAAGAGCTTCATTAGAATCGACGACCCCGCGGATGCGACCTCCCCTCGCGTGTTTATTTTTAATTCTGACAGAGCGAAAGATACGAGTTGCTCCAGTTGCGAGGACCAAGAAAGTGGGTGTAACCGGTTACCGGTTTCGTCGCTTTTGGACAGAGATTTAAGGCTCGGACTGCATCAGGTGTTTGATTCGAAAAGAGGAGAAGGTCGTACGCACCGGCGCGGCAGCGGCAACGGCAGGCGTTTTCTGTTTCCGTCTCGCTTTTGCATCGGCGGCTGTGTTCCCTCGCCTTAAAGACGATTTTCACCTTACGTAAAACCGGCACATCGGCCGTGACTCGTTTCCATGGCGAACGACTTTCCCCGATTCCGTATCGCGAACGTTATATACACTTTAGAAACGATCGGCGCCGCGTCTCGCGCCAGCCGACCCAACGTTCCACGGTTATTTTTCGCTAGACCGCAAATTCGGGGGCTCCGACGGTTTCGTCCGCCTGGAACTGGCATTTACCGGCATCTCGGTGTTTCGACAGTTATTGCACGTTCGCGTGTACACGCGTATTAAGCCGCCCACTTCTCGAGCGCACGGGCGCGCGTGCAATCAGCGTACTTTTATTCGCGTTTTAATTCGTCCGAAACGTGAACAATTCCTTTCTTTCTTCACAGAAACGAAATGGTAACTGTATTAAACTGTTTGCAAATCGAGATCGTTCCCTTCGATTTGTTTTCTCGGCTGTTTTTCATCTTTCTTCCGCTCGGCGAACAATGACATTCATTTTTGTTACGTGTCCCCGTGAAATTAGAAAATTCTTACGCTTGCTGAACCAGTTAAAACGCGGATACCAATTAAGTGCACGTGTACCCGTATTTTGTTTACTTTTATAATAATTGGAATTGGAATTGCGAATTTTTATGGTTAATGTTTCGATGCATATTGTAATTATTTTCTCGAATGAGTTGTTTGGCAAAGATCGCTTAGCCATTGCATTTCAATGAAATGTCAGTGGACAATGGTCGAAGCCTCTAATTCCGTAATGGCCGTTTCACTAAGAGGCTGGCCAAGGGGACACGGCTGATTTTGCTCGATTCTACGCAGCGATTTCCACGCGGCGAGTTCTAATTCCACGGCTCGAAGGAAAGTGAATTCCGAATCGAGCACGACCGGCGCCAGGGAGGCTTGTTTAGCATACCATCAACTTTTGGCATTCGTCGTTTTTTCGAAAGCGGAGGACTCAAGGACGTCTGCGTGGAAGTCATGGGGCAACGAGTTGTCGACTATGAATTCGTTTAAATCTACTGGTACCTGCGGCCAGCCGAATTCCACGACCGAATTCCGTCGTGTCAAAACAGCCTTCTGATAATCGGGAAACGACCATCTCGGACCGGACCAACCCCTTGTCAGACTTCGACGAGCTTGACTCGACGTGGAGATTTCCGGCAGTAATATCTGTTAAGTGTGATTATTATATTCATACTTAATATATAATTGATTAGTTGTAAGAATTGCTCTGTAATCTTCAGTAATAGGAAGGTGAGATACTGTCTAAAATTCTAGAAGATCTAAAGAATTTTTTTCCAGTTGAAAAAAATATGACAGGATAGCTTGAACCTTTCAGATTCAAGAGAAAAAATGTCCATATGAATTGGACTTATAGTTTTCGAAATAAAAATTCCTGAGTGCAGGGTGCGATTTGGTCTACAATCTTCAGTAACTGTAAAGTGAGATTTTGTCTAAAATTCCAGAGGATATAAACAATTTTTTGTTTACTTGAAAAAAATATGACAAGCTAGCTCGAAGCTTCTAGATTCAGAAAAAAAAATGTTCATACGGACCGGACTTACGGTTTCCATAATAAAAATCCCTCGGTACAACGTGAGATATTCTCCACCATGTTCAGCAAGTACGAACACGAGACTTCGCCTAAAATTCTCAAGGTTACAATTCCTGTTTCACTTGAAAAAAATATGACAGCATAGACTGAACCTTCTAGATTAAAGAAAAAAATGCTCATATCGACCGGACTTACGGTTTTCATAATAAAAATTCTTGATGTATCTCCCACTTGACCGAACGTAATCCGTTAGGCTACGCGGCTGGGAGTCTTGCTATCGTTTCTCAGCAGGTGTCAAGGTAATAAGTCGAAGAATTCGTCGGCCCCGACGATTCTAAAAGCCGGCCGAAGGAGACACGGCGCATCCCGGACTTTCTAAACCGATCCGATCGAACGATACGATCGCCGCCGAGTTTATTCCCTTTCATGGCGAGTCACGATCTGCGGCCGACTTCGCTTCTTCTTCGTCCCGAAGAAAACGGTTTTCCCGGCGAACCCGCGGCAGAACGTGTTACGTTACGTTGACTAACAATCGCGCCCGTCTGGAGAGAGAACGGCTCTCGTTTCCGGCTCGAGATCGATCGGCCGGATATTGCCTGCGGCCTCGCGTGTCGGTCCCCGGCCGTCGATGATCTAGATCTTCGCTGCTCCGTCGGTGTTCGATAGTCGCAGCTTACGTAGCATTCGCTCGTTTGTACCTCGTGTCACGGTTTACACACTGGTGATCTTTCCGCTTAAAAATCGCAAGTGCGAAGTTGATTTGTGCACTATTTTTCCGGAGACCATAAATCTTGCGGCTGGACCAGCGGTGTCATAAATTCATTACGCGAGGCTGCGCTTTCAGCAGTGAAAGTAGAGCCTACGAATGGACCCCTCTGCGACCTGAGAGTCCCGTAATAACGCGATCTAACAATTCTACGGACACGGGAGGACCAGATTTTTAGTTCA